TTTTTTTTTTTTTTTAGCTAGTTGTTTAATCCCAACAGTGTGTTACGACGAGGGCGGTTGTTGTTAAGTTATGGTTTGTATTTCCGACATAGAATCTTACCAATTTTGCCCAACTGTGCATAAACACAAAAAACATAAAGAAGGCAAAATAATTTTCCTTGCTGTTGCCGTCACAGTTGTTATTCCATTTACTGAACCCACGCAAACGTCGGTTGGGACGCATTTCGGCCAGTGTATATATTCTTCGGCCAAATTGGTTCTGGGTGGTTAATTTTTGCCCGTTCGTGAAACCAACTCGGCCCGAGACGTATAATTAGAGTTTAGAACTTTGCAATGCTTAAGCGACGCCCGACATACTTTAAAGTGAACATTCGCGCTAGGTCACGAAAAATCTACTTATTCATGATTAAATAATTTTTCAACAAAGACCGCGTTCAACGAAAGTTATATTCACGATAATTTACAAGCAAATGCTTTTTCGATATAAAAAGAAAAACAATTATAAAAAAAAAAAACAAAACCACTGTGACATTATTATTTTTTTTTATTACAATAAACGCTAAGAAGAAATATATAATGTATACAATATTATTATTGAGCGATATCTCGTATACTTTTTACATCGACCTACTCGGAGTACTATGAACATTCAAATATAACTTTTAATTAAAATAGAGAATATAAAAATCTGGTGTTACAATTAAATTTAAATTGTTTGAATATTTGTACTATGTTTTGGTTTTTTCAATATTGATTTTATTTGAAAAGTTTTGTTGATTGTTGATTTGACAATTTCATTAAAACTACTCATGTAGCTAATTTAGTAACTTAAGTAACTACAAAAATATGACATATTTTTAAAGATCAAAGAATTAACCATGAACTATTGGTAAATTCAATAATCCTAAACAGCAAAATATTAAATAAAAATAAGAATTTAATTCTTAAAAATACCTTGATAATATTCTTCAAATATTTGTTTAAAATTGTTATTATACAATTTAAAATATGAATATACTTTTTTTATAGTATAGGGGTTATTGCATTACGAACTTGTAATGTTGTTATAATGTTAAAAAGAGCCAATAATGATAGTTAATAATCATAGAATATAATATCATAACATCATCATGATAAGTTATAACATGTATGTTATAACGCGAACAATTAAGAACAGTGTCATAACAAAATACTTTTGTACTTTATACTGATTAATTTGTTATTTTTAATTTTGTCTACTTACTTAACCTTATACTTTAATAACAACTTATAGGAAGCGTGTACAAATAATGAAGAACAATCGGTACAATAGAATGTTGATAAACTTGTTTTGATAATAATAATGTGCATTAAATAGAAGCATTATAAGTCACGTTTATACTTAGCATATCGCACAGGCCTTTGATCATCTCTGTTTTAGTTTTAATTAAAACCGCTAACGAAATACCTTTGAGGCACATATTGGCCTTTGAAAAATATAATAATACATCTCCTGTCAAACAGGTAACATTTAAGATCGGGTAAATATGTACAAGATTGTAAACAACGCCATTATATAGAATTAAAAAACTGTTAATGGTTTGAACTGTATTTATTTTAATTATAGTATTGTATTAAATGAGGTTTGAACCAGTCATAAATATTCAGGCATTTTTTTACTACAAAGTCTTCAATAATATATTGTGTTTGGGGTGTAATATTTTTTTTTTTTTTTAGGAAATACGAATCTAGTGTATAATGTTTTATTACCTCACTCCATCTCTTTATTTTGATCGCCACATCAGCATCACTATAGGTGACGGAGCGCTTAAAGTTTTGGGCTTTTAAAACGCAACACCAATTTCTTCACATCCAGCACATGTCTCCGCTTATTTCTCTTTGGTCCGTTCTATTCTGGAATACGGTGTGGTGGTTTAGCACTTGTTTTTGGCTTGTGACGGATATCCGTATTGAACGAGTCCGAAATTGTATCCTATCCTAAGCTTCTTTTATTCTTAAGATTGCGCACCCTCTCCACGATTACTTCATCATTCTCTTCTCCTTAGACATTCCTACCCTTGCCTCACGCCGCACCGATGCTGACGATTCTTTTATTTCCTCCCTCCTTAATGGCTAACTTTCCTCAGTCTCAATCCGTGTCCCAGCCTACCCCACGAGAAACCATTCTCTATTTAACGTACCATACCATCGCATCTCCTATGGCCACACACATCCTTTCCATAGAATGCGTAGAAATCATAGTTACAGGCCACAAATTAAAAAATTAAATCTCATTTACCTTATATATTATTTTACTTTTTAATACTTATCTATATTAATGTTTTTGTTTTTTTTCTCTGTTCTCTGTCAATTCTCTGTAAATGCGGTACACAATTACGCGGGAAAACGGTTAGTTTTTTTCCAAAAGTATTTTAAAAAAACGTGTAACGATGAAAGTAATATTATATTTTCAACAAAAATAATTTGTTTGTATTATGTTCGGCGAACTATTCACCTTTAGCGGCTTTTGAAATTCAACCAGTGGTTATGGCACATGGACTCAAATGCGCTTATTGTTTTTGAAGGGTTCTTGTACAGCTAGTTAAGTGGGGCGAATCAATTTGGCGTCGATCCAATCGTTTTTGCTTAATTGTGAATTCCAAAGTTGGAAATGCAAATCATATTGAAATGTCGACAGTTTTCAAGTTGTTGTGAACATTTCTACACGCCAGATGGATACACTCCCGGATAATTAGTGTTTCTGTCATTTATAAAGATCGAACCGCAAAACCAAAACACGCCAAAATCATGTTAATTAATAGTTATACAAACCCGCCCACGTAAACTCAGGTTACTGCTGATCCGAAACTTGTTAAACTTCACCGCGCTCCAATACATTATGTACACGAACACCGAATTCTCACATCAAAACATTTGGTATTTTGCCTATATCTATTATTTCTAATACTGTGTGTTATATCATCAACGAATAATAACGATAGAGTTCACGATAATAATTTAATAAAACCATAATCAAGTATAGTATGATGTATTATGGTACATTATAAACATTATTGTGTTATGTAGGTATAATCAGTATCAATTATTAAAAAAAAAAAATTAATATTTTATACATATGCATAATTCCACACTTTAATTTATAACGTAGGTATTTATAATAACGTAAAATTATAACGTTCTAAATTTCAGAAATGAGAAAATTTAAATTAAAAAAAACACACATTATTATACTGTTGTCGTGTTTTCACAATGGCAAAACCAATTAATAGTGTGAACTGTTCGTTAAAATGTAATGGACTAATCACGAGTCAATGTTTATTGAGGTTTAACGGACTGCTAAATGTTAAAAAATGCATTAATCCTTTCATAAACGTTCGTAACACCCGACATGTGTAATATACGTTAAGGCTGGTGAGATCTAAGAAATAAAATTTTGAAAAGTAAATCACAATGAAAACCATTTAATTAAGGAATATTCTTATTTTAGTACCTACATTAAATCAATATTTGCTTTCCTTACATCTATACATTTTATCTATGCATCATTAAAGAAATTTAGATAAAAATACAATTATAAACCTAGTAAACTTTGTGCGGTTGTATTTAAATCCCTGTTATAATGTCTATATATGTTGTATAATGTGTATATTACTTTCATTATTGGTTAACATAAACCTCATAACATTACTATTTACTAGTAAGAAGTGACGTAAATATTTAAGCTTTTGCAATTAGATAGCTTGAATCAAGTTTAATATATTAGTGTAAAGAAGAAAATTTTTAAAAGTTTTGACTTCTTCACTCCTATTTTTTACTTATTTTAACAAACTTAATATGTACATGATATCAGTACTTTATATATACATATTTTAATGTTTGTATATTTAAAACCAAATTTTGTAGACTAACTATCAAGTTAGATTTATAACAAATATCCTAATAATTTTTAACTAACTAACATCATCCCGATTATGTGGTTAATTTTATAAACAAAAATTGCGAATAGTAGTCCTCTGAAGGTATATATTTAAATATTAGACTAATGTTAAATAAGTATACCTTTATTAACATTAACTCATTTTACATAACTATATAAACTATATTAAATGTATACTACATAATATGTTAGTTTACTTCTCAAATAATTCCTCTTTTCTGATTTTGAACAACTTCCGTTCCCTGAAGTTAGCTGTTGCCTATTAAGTTTGTCTTGTACATGTTTAAGACTTACAGTTATAGATAATAGTACACTCGATGCATATTAAGTATCATAATGTATATCACTACCACCTAGGGTGATAGATTCGAACTTGAACTACACATGGTAAAGACGCTGAGGAATGTATTCCGATTATTTCGGTCGAGGGAACAACACTCTCGGGGGAAATGACAAATATGATAATATCTGTCTTACCATAACGATTTGATCATCTGAAAATAGAGCAGTACAACTGCACAACATATTTGTATATTAAGAATTAAATAACACTTGTTGCTATTATGCTTAGTTGTTTCTTCTTCGTCTAATCAAATCAAATAGACCATTTAAACCCGGGGTATTATGTAGGACACTCGTTTATAATTGTTATCAGCTCTATTTTATAATCGTTATTATAATTGTATACGGTAAAAAAAAAAATCAACTTTGTCCAAAAACCATTGCGAATGTTATTAATGCGTATTAATAACATATTTTTATTTTTATTTCTACAAAAAAAAACAGAAACATCTAATCGCTTTAGTGTGATGATTACTTTGATACTATTTATGATTTATTTATTTTTACTTCATTTTTGACTAATAACAAAAAGGTTAAACGCTAATGAGTCATATTTTTTAAGCTACAAGATAACACATGAATCTGAGACTTAACATGCCCATACATCACAGAACAATTTAGATATCCAAATACATAAACCTATTCTAATAAATATTATAATATCATACCTAATGTCTAATAACAAGCATATTAAATAACAGACTGTTTTTTCTTTTTACAGAATCTATAAAGAAGCAGTACGACAAAGACAGGCGCTATCCAGGACATCGAGTAATATTATATTGAATAGCATACACCAACATAGGATACAGCATTACAGTCATAGATTAAGGCCACCCGACAGCGGAAACATATCTAACGGCGGGGGTAAGTCTAAAATTAAATTATTTTCTATCCTCTATACCATAACGCATATTTTTGAATAATTTATAGCACATAAGTATAAGTACAACTTTTCTACTATCTTAAAAATTCTTTTAGGAATTTCACTCATACAATAATTATTACACTATTAAAATCGTTTAAATATTTTAATCCTCTTTTTATTTATTAAACAAATATTTTTCAAGATAAAACTTTTACTTAACTGTGAACTTGAATAGGTTGTCTAATTGTAGAGGATTAGTGGTAGGGGTTTAGTGAATTTGTAGAGAATTAATAGTGGATTAATGAAGGATTACAAATGGATTAGTGCACAAAATATAAGTATGCCGGGATAGCAACGGGATTCTTCCTAACGTTATCATTTCAAGCTCAGTACACAATAAGCTCATCCAAACCTAATTTAAACTCATTGTTTTATAAATAACGTGCATATCTGTAATTATCAGAAAGTGGAATTAGTTTAAAACATTTAAATATTTCAACACACATATTTTATAAACAAAATGTATTTTGGATGTGCAAATTCAACATTTATATCAAATTACTATTGGGTGTTTTTTATGTATCTACATAAAAAACCAAAACCGAGAGGAACATAGGAATTTGGTTCGTGTTTGCTATTCACATAATCACGTATTTATTTATTCGTGCCCGAGACACTTGACGGTAAGATTTAACGCTACTATAAAATACCAAGGGACCGTTCCACTGCAGTAAATCTCAGGATATATATAAATATATGTATATATAGATACAGATTTAAAACAACTGACCCATAAACATTACGCGCTTAAGAGCGGCTTTGTGGCCTATGTTTTTTTTTATAGAATATTGTATAATTAGTACGTTTTAGACGATTTGAAATTCAATAGACGTTGAATACACCTTAGTAGCAGAACCCGTTTTCTTTTGAAATTAACAAAAACCAATGGCTCGCAACGGGGTACTGTTATTAAACGCGACCATATTTTCCGACTGGTAAAATAAAAACGAAGATCTATCACTTGCAACAGCTGTCGTTCTATAATCTACTAGTTCCAGCAGCCAGTTAAACAAACGCACGTTGTACTCTATCCCACCTCGTATGTTACTCTACCGTGGTCAGATGGGTGTGTGTGTGTGTGAATTTTGTACGGTTCGTTAAGATACACGTGGACCGTCTGTTGTAAGACGGCGACAATCGTACAAGTACAGTGAAAACCGATCGATGCACGGGCTCGGGACCATATCAATCATTCTGTGCGGGGGCGAGGAAGGAACGGGCACCGGCAGAGACAGACCATTGTGTCTACATTTATACTTCGGAAGGCTGATGGATGTGGGCTAATAACAAAGATGTTTGAATAGAAGTATACATGTATACGTTTTCTCGGGAGAGGCGTCCGGAAGTTGTATATATTATTATTGCTATTAAAAAAAAAAAAAAAATTGTATATATAGATTGTTTTATGATAATTCAAAGACATTATTGCAAAGAACGAAGTCGAAGTTCACAAAATTGTATTAAAGAACGTCAGGAAACCGTGTCACCCAGTTATTATGGTACTTATATATAGGTACATTTGACGTTTACGAAAATGTCATATCCAATTTCGGTCATTATCGAACGGTTAGTTGTCAGTTTACATTTTCATCGTTTGAAATAAAACGAAAATACACACATTATATTAATTTTATAACCCAAATATTTTCAATTCACGCGCATACCTATTTGCGTTATAATATTATATTTATTGAAAACTCAAACAGTTCCGTGAATTTACCCTTTTCGGGTGGTCTCAAATATATAAAAAAATAAAGATACAACTTTTTTATGGACGTGTCAAAACAGTAAATAATAAATTATGTTGTTGTTACATTTTAGCTAATAAAATATTCATAAAAATATCATTCAAGTAGATATAATTTATAAAACGTTTGAATTTAGAAAAAAATCGGTATGTAATTATTTTTCATAAAAATTAAATACTCACTAATTAATAAAATGTTCCCTCAGTCATAAACAAATAAATAATAATGTAACCCACTTTAATATATATGTTTTTTTTCTTCTAAATAATGTAGTATGGTATTTTTCTTTGTATTATTCATGTAATTATGTTTTGTTTTAAAATTTTCATAGCTAATAATAATACAAAAATAGAAATCGTAAAATACTCGGTGTTCTAATAATTATTATGTAATTCTAATTTTTCTATTCATTTCCCATATAAAATAAAGAATTGACAGCTTCTATAGATTTAGTCAAGTCAAATTAGAAATCGTCCCTAACCGAGAGTCTTTATTTTTTTGTTATCTCCTAAAATTTGGAACGTTTCCAATGTAAAAAGATACGACTAATTGACGTGTCGCTGACAAATGATTATTATATATTATGATTGCTAATGGTATATAAGTACTTTGAAGGCTTTGACTTTTGTGATAATAACTTATCCAAAAATAATTTTCATGGATAAACATTTTTTTAAATTAAGTTAATGTTATGATTTGGTTTTCATAAGGGTTAAGAGCTACTTGTTTGGAATACCTATTTCGAAATGAAACAATACGGTTCTCATAACTTGATTTTCACTTTCACATCATCCCTCTTTTTATACCTCGAAATAAAGGTTAAAAATGTTTTATGTATTGCCAGTTAACAAAAACTGTAAAGACATCTTAAAATATATATCATTACTTAAGTATACCTTATCGATATTACCGAGAAGACATAATATAATACCAAGTGAACGAATAGTAATTTCACTTTACTTGGTATCATTCAACTTATATTTTACTTGTTGTAATAGTTTCTCGAATAGTACATTATTAGTACATGGTAAGTGTATTTGTTATGTGTTTTGTTTTATTTGTGGAAAAATCATTATACAACTGAAGAAGAAAAAAAGGAGTAGCCGGTGTAGCGGCAAACGGTTATTTTATTCTAGAATCGTCCAGTTTGCACCCCAGTATGAAAATTTGAACCATTATTCATTTTTTATTTTAAAAAAACTCTTATGGTTTGTCACTAGAAATGAAATATCAAAAAAGTTAGCTAAGGGCCATTATACTGAAGTTAAGACGCACTATACATTTTTGATAACTGCCGAAATATATTAAAATGTACTTTTTTTGTTCTTATACGAACTACAACAAAAATCCATTTATCAACATTGCTTACGGTATAGATGTAACATTACACTGTAATAATTTAATTTTGAAGTTTTTGCTGTACACACGTTCACGTTAAAAAAAAAAAGGAGTTTTGCTCACCTACGTGCTTGGACTCGCTATAATAATACAAAAATCAGTATAGTGGACAATTTTGCACTTTTATTAATCCGTCACTGATGTATTAAACTTCCGAAAGTTTGCACGGTTTCTAGGTGAGTTGAGTATTTGACTGGAAATAGCTTTTGAATACGTGTTTTACTGTCAAACTAAATCACCACCATGAACGATCAGGTTCATAAAAATATTTTGCAAAATTCGTTTATATAGTTTATCAAAAGAAAATCCATCCCCACTAAAACGGCGTTGTTAATAATATCATTATAAATCTTTTCGGTTTGCCACTTTTTAGCTCTTTTATCACTCGGAAGTCTACAATTAACACAATTTTAAAATGTTGTTTTTACTTGGAAATTTGTCGGTTTAACGTCCTCTTTAATACTTTGGATAGTTCGTGTTAAATGACTTTTAAACCTTACGGATAGACCTTGTGATCTTGGGTGGCAAGGCGTTTTGTTTCCATCGTGTCTTAGTAAGGTTTAATAATAATTAATTAAACCACTGTTGCATCAGTGCCCACAAGCTTTACAAAACACAGACCTTACAAAACCGTAAACTCGTCGGGGTACGCCAAGTATGGAACATATTAATCAATACAGAGATTAATAACGTCATGTAAATACTAAAAAACTATAGGGTTCTTATGGGATTTGAGCTTTTTTCGAGAGTAATATGTGATTTCATTATTATCGTATTGAAATTGACGCTGGACAACGTGAATTTTATTCCAAACGCAAATTACAATTTAAGTCTAAAATTGAGCCAGCGGCAAAAGCAGATTTCCCTTGAACTCTTGTCAAGTTGACAGCGTTGTTGTTCATTACGAAACAGTATTAAACATGTGCTTAAGGGCTTTGTTGCCCCGAATCGAAATCATTAAATTCCTTATAAATCCAATGTTTGTTGTTTGCATTTCAGTGTTTCATACTCATCAGTTCTCACGTTGTTTATTGCATTTAATCATTTCCGTGTTCCTTTTTAATAAAATATTTTGAATCTATTTTGAAATTATATTAAATCAACATCTCTTAAAAAAAAAAAAAAAACTAAAAATGTCTAACTTATTATATTTTATAATAATACATCTATTTAGACATAAATATATCTAAAACAAAACCATATTTATTCATTCAGTGTTAAGCTTTTTTAATAGTCGCCGTTCATTGAAACTCTGCCCGTTTAAATGACACTATTACTTTTTTTAATGTTTAACATAAAAAAGTCAGAGAAAGAAAAATACGAAAATGTTTCGGATATTTAATTCAAAATGAATCCTACTACTGCATAGTTAGTTGGTTTAATTGTGCTGGAATGACATTCCGGATTTATGTGGTCTTAAATCTAAATAAATTACTTGAAAGTTAATACCGGAAATGCGTACTGGTGTAAAAATAATACCATTATTATTATATGTTGTGACGGTTCAAGCTTCACCCATTCTCTAAATCGTGAAATTCCTTCCATTTTCATTTGTATACACGGACTTAACAGTATATCATTAATACATAATAATTTCAATAGGGTTTGATCATTTTAAAACCGAGATGTAAAATTCAAGGGATTTGCCTAATGTTTAATTCTTTATAATATATATTACTAAAAGTTGATATACACAATTTACAAAACCTATGCTTCATGTTAGATTTTTAAAATTCAATTAAGGAACTCTAAATAATTTAACATCCTCGATATATACCATTTTCCTACAAACC